ATTATTATTATTATTATTATTATTATTATTATTATTATTATTATTATTATTATTATTATTATTATTATTATTATTAAGTACATCAGACAGTAAAACTAGAAAAGTAATATTAAAGGTGTGAATTGGAAGGTAAACTGGAAATTAAACTGGTTTATGAATTAATCAATGTAAAATCAGTTATCCTTTAAATTAATTCTTCTAACTCATACAAAAAAAATATATACCAACATATATACATGCATAAATATACACTTTATCCTTTTACTTTTCTAGAACAACATAAGAACAGGAACAATGGGAATTTTGAGTTTCCTTTGTTGGATGTAAATATTGATAATAATAATAAATAATAATAGTAATAAATAATAAATTATTATAAATTATATTAATTATATTCTTTTAAAAGACTTTAGATATTTGGATCAAAAAAGAAATAAAAAAAAAATTTTTTTATTAATAATACCCAATCTAATCTAAATAAAAAGATTAAAAAAAAAAGATCTAAATTTTTTTTTTTTTGCTGCAAAATTCTGTTGGTTTATACAAGGTACATATTTACATATTTTAATTATTTACATTTTTCATTTTTCGTTAAACATACACGCATATAACATCCCGATTAAAACTTGATTAAAAAGAAGAAAAAAAAAAAAAAAAAAAAAAAAAAAAATTGAGAATTTTATTTGTTCTATTCAAAAATTTTAAACATCCAAACGATTATTAGTAATATTAACAATTATTGTCATTATATTGTCATTATCGTCATTGTTGAAAGAACCATATAATGTAAGAATGTAAGGGGTGTGTAAATTCTATTCTCTAATAAACAGATAAGATTATTTTATTTAGATTAAAAATTTTCTTTGTTTCTTTTGAAGAAATTTAAATAAAAATAATGACAACAAAAAAAGAATGACACGTACATACATTCATATACATACATGTATGCGTATTATTTAAAGGTAATGATCGTTTATAAAACAAATAATAAACTGACTATTGAAAATACCATTTCAATTAATGAAGAATGTTTATCATATTTAAACTTGAAAATTTCGGCGAATTATTATTTAATTATTTAATTATTTAAAGTATTCACAATTTTAATCATTCTAATAATTCTTAAATAATATGTAATTTAATCACATTTTAATGTAACAAACAGTGTTTAATTACATTTTATTACATTTTATTACATTTATTACATACGTAATCTGTAGTAAAATTAAATATTCAAATTTCGTAGAATAATAATAATCAAATAGTAATATTGATTTAGACACCTAAAATAATGTAATCATTTAAACTTTCACAAATCTTTATCTTCTACCCCCTTCATTTTTTTTCCTTTTTTATGCAAACTCATAATCATGCATAAATTATTTATGGATTTCCAAAAAAAAAGAAGTTCTTTTTTTTTTCTCGGTTAGGAAAAAAAAAAAGAAAAAACTAAAATAACCGAGTTTATTAGATTTATTATTATTCGATTGAAAATATTTTTGATTTTATTTGATTTGCTGACATAAGTGCAGAATCGATTATTTGTTATTATTAAATTATTATTATTTGTTTTTATTAAATTATTATTATTATTATTTGTTGTTATTAAATTATTATTATTTATTATTATTATTATTATTAAATTATTATTCTTATTATTAAATTTTTATTATTATTTTATTATTAAATTATTTATTATTTTATTATTAAATTATTTATTTATTATTGGTTCATACAGCATTATTTAATTTAAATTAATAAAAAAAAATTGATATTATAACAAAAAACTTACCAAAAATTTTCTACTACTCATTCTCTGCCGAGAATTAAACTTAATAAAAAATAAAATTAATAAAATAAAATATATACTTATTATAGTGTAATTTTTAGTATCACCTTATATTATATTATGTAAACCCTGTCAAGTTTTTTTTTTCTTGGCATCTTAATTAAATTACAATATTTTATTGGGTAAAAAATTTGAATTGAATTAAGATTAACCATTAATTAAATTTAAAATGAAATAAAATTTAAATTCAAAATTCAAAAAAGGGGATGCTTAATTTTGATATTATTATTATTATTATTATTATTATTATTATTATAGATATATTAATTATTTATAGAAACTTTAAAAAATTAATTAAATTCAAAAAGAGGATGTTTATTATTATTATTATTATTATAACTATCAACCACATGGCCCTTCCAATTAAACACGATTATAATAATAATATTCATTTACTATTTTATCTCCTTTTTTTTGCTCTAATCTCTAATCATTAAATTTATTTAATTAAGTTATTTATTATTTATTTATTTGTTTGTTTGTTTATTATATATTTATTCATTTGTTTTATTTATTTATGTTATTCTATTTATCACATGATAGATAAAGTTCCGTTGTAATTTTTAATTTTTAATTCAAAATTATCCATTAAAAAAAAAAAAAACTTTAAAAAAAATAAAATAGAAAGTATTTTTTGCACCCTTTTTTAAAATATTTATGCATAATTACTTTATACTTTACATTACTACAAGATATAGATATAAAGTTAAAAAGGATAAAAAGATATTAAAAAAAAAAAAAAACTATTTATCAAAAAAAAATGGCGAATTGTTGTTGTGAGACTTGGATAAAGTTTTTTTTTTTTTTTGAGTCTGGGAATTTTTTGGTCATTTCATTTCCTTTTTATTTCCTTTCGTTCTTTTATTCTTTTTTTATCCTTTTTTTTGTTCCTTTGTTCTTTTGTTCTTATACTCTTTTATTCTTTTGTTCTTTTTATTCACTTCCTTCACTTCTAAAATTCTTTTGAAATTTAAGATCTTGAGTAAACTTAATAATTGTCTAATCCTTATGAGGAAGACTAATTAATAATTGAGCTAATTTAAGAAGGAAATAAAACAGGAATAAATCAAATAATTATCAAAAAATCTAGAGTAATAGAAAATAATAATGGAAAAAACAATGCATAGTTATATATATAAAAGGAAATATAATTATAATTGGTACATTCAACAATACATATTTATAATTAGAAAATGATGATGATTTATTTGGCGTATCGAGTGATCGTATGCATAAATTTTTGTTTTTCGAAAATATTCTTCACTTTTTTTTTCCTAATTATTTGCGATTATAGTCAACTAGTGAAAAGTCGACTTTTTTGTTGCTAATTGAAGATTTACTAATTAGAAACTTAGTTACTTATCGAATTATTCTAATTAGCGACCAATAAATGACTGACAACTTATATTAACTGAAATTTGCCACTAAATACTAGCCACTAATAAAATAGCCACTAATAAAATAACTTCTTTTCTGGCGTAACGTATTTCACGTGACTTATTATAAATATATACCCAATTATGGAATAAAATAATTCATAGAATGCATCTGCAGATTCTAATTTCTTGGATAATGATATAATAAATTTTTTGAAACGTATTACACGTGACTTATTATAAATATATACCCCTTTTTTATCTTTTTTATAAATTTTCTTACCAATTATGGAATAAAATAAAAATTCATAGAACGCATCTGCAGATTCTATTTAATTTCTTGGATAATGATATAATAAAAAAATTTTTTTTTTTTTTTGAAAAAATCCTATTTATAAGTTGGTCCAAAGAAAAATTCCATTGAAACGGTTAAAAACGATCGGGTGGTAGTCAATCGAAAAATGTCTCATTTCCTTTCATCTTTTATATTTATTTGAGATATAAAAATTTCTTATTTAAAAAGACAATAATTTATAGGTCTGTATAGAATTATTTAGTGGATTTATTATTTTATAAATACTCCATCAAAAGAATACCATTTGTTAAAAACATCATCAGTGGGTCGGTAGTTGGTAGTTGTAAATTATTTTGTGAAAAAATTTACTATAATAATAATAATAATATATATATATAAAGACATGGGCGTGATATTATAATTTCTTTTAGGAAATTCTAATCAAAAATTTTTCGATTACTAATTGTAAAATTTTCCGAGAATTCGATCTGAAAGAATCTCCTGATGTATGGACTCTTTGATTCAATTTATCAAATGATACATCACAACGTATTATATCGAACATATTATTAACAGCGGAAAATTTACAAATTTTTTTTTTATATAAATACCCTTTATTCCTTGATTTCTCATTTACCTTGCTTACCTTAACATAAAATTTCATCTTGAAACAATCTCATTTACCTTGCTTACCTTAACATAAAATTTCATCTTGGAACAATTTTTGATCCTTCCTTTTTCCTAAACTTCAAAATTTTTACAATATAATTCACATCACAATAATTCTTTTACAAATAGAAAATGAACGTTTTGTTCTTTTTACTACTATCATCACCACCAAAACTACCACCACCACTACTACCACCACCACTACTACAATTATCCCTAAGAATTTTACAACTTAATTAAAAATGATTTGTCTGTCATTAAAAATGAATTACATTTCAATTTATTGTAAAATTATTTCCAATTTTATTAAAAGATTGCGAAATCATTTACTCATTTCAAGTTCCTTCCACTCGCTTTTAATCAATTTAACCAATTTAATTAAAAGATTACGAAATCATTTACCCATTTCACCTTTTCTTTCTAACAGTTCCTTCTACTCACTTTTAACCAATTTAACCAACTTAACAAATTCTGGAAATTCCATTAAAGTACAATTTTCTAATGAAAAATTTCTCAAAATAAAAGTACCAAATTTGGAAAAAATGATAAATTTATTAAAAGAAAATGGTTATTATAAAGAGGAAAAAGAAGACCCGAATGGTCATAACAAAAATGATAACAAAAATGATCTAAATATTGGGAACATTAACATGGTACCAACATCATTTCTATTATATTTTTTAACTATACAAAATGAATTAATGAATTCAAAAATAATTCCATATAAAAAATATTCTAAAGAATTATCAATGGTGGCAACAATAAATTGGAGGAAAGCAGATAAAGAATTTAGACAGGCATTTAGTCGAATGACCATAGAATTGAATCGTGATGAAAGATTTTTACAAAAATGAATAATGAAGTCTGAAATATCAATGCATATTTATTTTATATTTATTATTTTATATTTATTTTATATTTATTTTATTTAATATTGATTATTATATGCACCTCATTAATTATACGTGCATTCAAGGATATAATGTGAACATGTAACACGGACCACGTTACTTATATAGAATTAGAATTAGAATAGAAATAGGAAATCCATAATAAAAATAGAAATAAGTAGAATAAATCGGAATATTTTCTCTCTCTCTCTTTTATTCTTATAAACATTAATATATATTTATATTATATTCATTATGATTCATGAAATATAAATATAATTAGATATTTATAGTATTATAGAAACTTATCTAAATAAAGAAACATAGTCATATCATTTTTTTTTTATTATCCGTATATTTATTATACGCATATATATATAAGTGCGGTTATTTACGCTTTGACCTATTCCATTTTACTTTCATAAATGAATTATTATTATATTTTATTAATCCTTGAATATCATAGTTATATAATCATTTATTACTAATTATTACTAATTAATTATTGGAACATTTGTAAAATATACAGGTTTGTTACTAAATAAAGAAATGAAGAAAGAAAATTGAATTAATTAAATTGATTTGTCATTAATACATTAATATCAAAGTTAATAAATAGATAATAAAATACATTAACATTTTTGATTGATTATTAATATAGTCATTTTGTAAAATATGTATATATATATATCAGATACTAAATAAAGAAATGAAGAAAGAGAATATCAAGCTAATTAATAAATAGAAAATAATTATTATTATTTGCAGGACCCTGACAAATATGTGAGATCGCCTACAGCAAAAAAGGGTTCAGATTTATATGCATATCATCTCGACTTAATGGAAAATGGATTTTTCCGTTCATTATAATATTCATTTTAGTGCAAATAAGTTTACATATTTTTGAATATAAATAAATTAAAATATTAAGTATTACAATTAATTCAAATTAAAAATTTATTTCTCATTATAAAAATTGTAAAACCGATTTTTCTCTTTGCTGAGAGTCAAAAAAGATCTACAAAATTTTGTATACCAAAAATAACTGCGGCATGATAGTGCTTGCACCTATCATAAAAAATTTAAAAGCACCATGGAAATGAATTTATTTTAATTGGATTATCATTTCGCATATAACAACGTTACACAATAACAAGATTTTGTAATTTATATTTTTAATTATAACAATATAAAAATTCGGTATAATCATATGACTAGAGTGCTGTGCTTGCATGACTTTTAAAATTTTTTTATATGATAGCTAAGCAAACTTCTCTACTTAATATTGTCCAGATCCTATTATTATTATTATTATTATTATTATTGTTATTGCGGAGTCTCATAAATGATAAATAAAAAGAATAAAGACAAAATCTACCATCTGACTAAATCATGCCGTCTAAAATTTTGACATTGAAAATTTCTTCTAAAAACGATTTTTAGAAATCCCAATAATATTATTAATAGATTAATTACAAGAAAAGAACACTAAAATTTTAAAATGGGTTATTTAACAATTTGAAAAATAAATAAATAAATTTGTGCATATTTCGGAATGCATAATTTGCTAATATTTTAATTTTTTTCGAATTTTGGTTTCACAAAATTAATTAAAATTAAATGATTTTTAATATAAATTTTTGAGGCTTCTAGTCAATACTTTTATTGCTAAACGAAACAAAATGGACAATTTTCTTAATGGACGATGCTTAAAAATTAGATTAGATTTAAAATTAATGGAATTCCCGACATCGATAGTCGGATCAGTAACTGATATTTTTAATAGTCGGAACTTTTAAATATTTTTTTTTCCCCTGAATTTTTATTAGTCATCATTTTGCTTCGTTTCTTGTTTACTTGTTTATTTTTTTATTTATTTATTTCTTGTGTATCTCAAAAGTTGTAATTTTGAATATTTTAAAGTTTTAATGTAATTAAATTAGGTGGATCGTTTAACTATATGCGTACGTAAAAATTAAAATACAAATAAGAAATTCAGGGAAAATTCACTACTGTAACGCCATCATTATATTTTTGAACTTGTGGTATTTTGTTGTTATTTCATTCGCCATTAATATTATTAATTCGATTAATTAGATCTATTTTCTCTGTATATATATGTATGGAATTTTAAATTCAAAATTTCTTGGAAACATCTAAAGAATTGTAAAACAATATAAACAATAATGATAATTACTGGTTATTTGAATTTATCCAGTCGGAAAAAAAAGTAATTGAATGTTTTCTCATAACAATGATAAACATTTTTTTTTAAAATTTATCGTTTTAAATACCGTTTTTTTTTTAATTGACCGTGAAAGTAAAAAAAATGGGTTTTTCTTTTTACTAAAAATTTACTTATTTGATTATTCAAATTATTTTGTATATGCTTACCAAAAATATTTTATTATACTTTACAAAAATTTTATTATACTTTACAAAAATTTTATTATAATTTACTAAAATTTTACAATAATTTACAAATAATTTATTATAGTAATAATAAATTATATAATGAGCTCAGTACGGCAAACAGAAACAAATGATGTATCTGAAATCCTATCAACACATTATGATTATGATTTTGAATTTAACACTAAAGAAAATGAATACATCACTGATAATTATATGAACTTAAAACGAAGAAGGGCATTGGCAGAAATTGATAATGCCGAATTTTCTTGGTTTCACATTAGAGCTTGCATAGTATCAGGAGTAGGATTTTACACTGACGCTTATGATTTATTCGCAATAAATTTGGTATCATCGATGTTGGGATTTGTTTATTTTAAGCCTTCTGGATATGTACCGCAAAATATTGATATTGGATTAAAAATTTCGGCTGCCTGCGGAACTTTATTTGGTATAAAAAAATTAAAATAAAACGAATAGATTGAAGAATTTTATTATTTTTTATTTTATTTTATTTTAATAATAATAATAATAATATATTATTATTATTATTATCATTTTTATAAAACAATAGGTCAATTGATATTTGGTTGGTTTGCAGATAGATATGGTCGTAAAAAAGTATATTTCATATTTTTTAATAAATTTATTTTAATTCAATTAATTTTAATAAATTCGATTAATTTTAATTAAACATATTCAATTATATTCAATTAATTTAATTTATTAACCAAAATATTACATGACATATATATAGATGTATGGACTTGAACTTTCCATAATGATATTCGCAACAATTGGATCCGCATTGAGTGCTGATGCTTTTGCGGTATCAATTTGGGGGGAATTAATGTTTTGGAGATTTATACTAGGAATTGGTATTGGAGGAGATTATCCATTATCTGCTGGTTAGTATAATTTAAAATATTTATTTATAATATTTAAAATATTTATTTATAATATTTATAATTTTAATTAATATATGTATATATTTTATATAATATATATATACTTATAATATAAATATTTAATTAATATATATCTCTCTCTCTATAATATTTATATAATCACACACACACACACACAAAAAAAAAAAAAAGTAATCACGAGTGAATTCGCCACATTAAAAAGAAGAGGAGCAATGATGGCAGCAGTATTTGCTATGCAAGGTTTCGGTATTTTAACTGCCGCCATCGTATCCTTGGTAACATTAGCTATATATCAAGATCATATAAGTAAGGATCCAAGTTACATCGATCATGTATGGAGATTGGTTTTAGGTTTTGGAGTGATACCCGCGGTTATCGCTTTATATTTTAGGCTAAAGGTTCCTGAAACCCCAAGATTTACTATGGATGTAGAAAGAAATGTTCATCAAGCTGCTTATGATATAAAAACCGTGTTATCTAATGGTAAAGATAAAGATGAAGATGAAGATCTTGATAAAAATATCAGTGGTATTAGTAGTATTACTATCGGTAACAATAACAACAATAATAATATTAGAATTAGCGTTGGAAATATTAATAATATTAATAATACTAATAATAATAATAATGATGATAATGATAATAATAAAAATTATAATCATAATCATAAAGATCATTATAATAATAATTATAATCACCATCACCATAGTCATCCCAAACGTCGTAAACATAACAAACGCAAAAATCATAATTCATTAAGTAAACCTGTTTTAGTTACTGATGCACCTCGAGCAACTTGGAAAAATTTTAAAGAATATTTTGGTCAATGGAAGAATGCTAAAATTCTTATTGGTACATCGGTTTCATGGTTTGTCTTAGATGTAGCATTTTATGGAATTGGATTAAATAATTCAATCATTTTAAAAGCTATTCGCTTCGCTGATCATGATGATGATCCGTATAAAACACTTTGGAATATGTCAGTAGGAAATATTATAGTAACAATGTTGGGTACAGTACCAGGTTATTGGTTTACGGTTTTCTTAGTTGATAAATGGGGAAGAAAATTCATTCAATTATTAGGATTTGGTATTCTCACCATTTTATTTACTATATTAGGATTCTTTTATCATCAAATATTGGACACCAGTTTGCCTTTATTTATTATAATATTTACGTCATGTCAATTCTTTTTAAATTTTGGACCTAACGCTACAACATTTATAATACCTGGTGAAGTATTTCCTACGAGATATAGATCAACTGGACATGGAATTTCTGCTGCAAGTGGTAAATTAGGAGCAATTATAGCTCAAGTTGGATTTATTCAATTGAAAGATAATGGTGGTCCCAATCAATTCGTAAATCGTTTAATTCAAATATTTTCATTATTTATGTTTGTCGGATTTTTTGTAACATTTTTAATACCGGAAACTAAAAATATATCATTGGAAGAATTATCTCAGGAAGATCAAGAAAACTTTATTAAAAATAAATTTAAAAAATTAGAAACTTATGAAAAGATTGAACAATTTGAAAAACCCGAAACACAACTAGATAATATTGAAGATGATGACGGGGATGATGACGAAGGTGATGATATAATCAAAGAAGAAGAGGAAGAAGAAGAGGAAGAAGAAGAAACAAGTATAGAAAGGACAAGAAGTACAGAAAATATGGTGAATAATGATAATATTGATGTTGATGACTGTGGTGAATCAGGCTCTAATTATGTTCATATAAGGAAATATAAGAATAATCGTAATTATCTTTGGGCATAATAATAGTCATATGTAATAATAATAATAATAATAATAATAATAATAATAGAGTTTGTAGATATAATGATTTTGTATTTATTTATTTATTTATTTATTTATTTATATGTATTAAATATTTATATTAGAAAGGTTATGATATTCTATTTATTGTAATATTATTAATATTATTATTTAGTAATATTAAAAATTCTATAATAATTATGTAATAATTTCCACAATGTCTTCCTCTATCTTTAAAATAGTAAAATTTATGGGGGCAATAAAAATCGTAATTAAAGTATTATAATTTTTAAAAAAAAAATATCTAAAAAGTTAGTATTAAATAATATCAATTCAAAAACCCTCGTCAGATCACCACTGAGGTACGTCAGGTGTCACCCATTGACCAGAATTATAAAACCAGCCTATGTTGATCCTTTTAATTTCACCCTAACCTTACCTTAATTTTGGCCAGTTTTAATCTGACGCAAGCGTTAGTCTGAGGCACAACATATATATATATATTTTATATATATTAACACTTTTGGTTAAAAACGTGATTATTTAATACATAATTATCATTAACTAAGTCTCCAAAAATACTTTCTACATATGTATAATATACACAAATAGTTTAAGATATACATTAATTCAAATCAACGCTAAATGTCAATTAAATCAAAAGTATAATACTATTATTATTAACAAAGAAATGTCAAAATAAATTTTATTATACAGGATGACACAAATTTAATATAAGGTAAAAGGGAGGTATTAATGGTGCAGTTAAAATTTTTTTAAAACTCATCAATAATAAAGTTTATAAAAAAAAAGAATTAACTGGTTACAAATTTATTTAATATTGTATAATTTTTATTCTATTTTTAAATCTATAATAAAGATTTAATTTTTAGGAGGATAATCTAACGCAGATTGACATTCTTTAGTTAATTATTAAATGAATTATGTGGATAACAATTTTTATTATTGCTAGACAAATAATATTCTCTGCTAATGCTGCTGAATAATAAATAATACTATTATTTAAATAGATTAAATTTATAATCCAGCGTTTAAAAAAAAAAAGATAACTTTTAATAATGATTCTTGTGATCAGTGATTTGGATCAGATGGTTATGATGTTGGTGAGACGAATGGTACAAAAATTTAATTAATTTTTATCTTTACTTTAGAAAATCAATATATAATGTGGTCTTGTTGTCAAAAAAAAAAAAATAAATATAAAATATAAAGACAATCCCAGAATTCGCTCTCTCTCTCGCATCAAGTCTTGTTTATTACACTTAATTTGTTAAAAATAAAATTTAAATAGACTTTAGAACTCATTTTCTCTTTCTTTCTTTGCAAAGAAATCATTATTTTAGCTTTTTTTTTCTTATAATGATGACGAACTTTATAAAGAAACTAATGTTTTCATACTTAAGTTTATTATTTGAACCAAAAGTTTATGTAAAAGGAGGTGCAGGTAGTAGATGGGTATTTTGGTATTATTCTACAAATGGAGGAATAAGTTGCGGAAATTATCGTATAATAATATTTTCAACAACAGGATTTTTAATATTACTGATATTATATTGCAACATTAGTACTAAGAAAAAAATCAAATCAAAAGAAGTAAAAACTATAATTGTGAGACTTTCCCCCGAAATTAGTATTCAAGTACATGTTCCGACTCTAGTTTACATTAAACAAAATAATCTTGATTCTATGCATAATAGATCGAATACTTTTTTTTATAATGCTGGATATATGCTATTCTTTAACACTTTACAAAAATTGATTCGCACGAATCCAAAAATTCCAACCAATAATTTAGCATTAGCAGCTGTTATTGCTTGGAAACGTTCATCGAATGAAGATCGATTGGAATTTACAAGATTAGCTCGAGAAGCTGGTATCGACAATTAAAAAAATTTATTAGTGTAACGTTGGAAAATCCGAATATTTATTATTTATTTAGTACTGACTTTTTACAAATCCATCGATATTTTCAAAATTATAATACTTTAATTACTATTATACTTCAATAAATTTTACTAGAGGAAGTCATTATGGAAATTATTATATAATTTAATATTACTAATAATATTGTGTAATACTTGGAGATTAAGATTTACAATCACTATTTTTATCACTTTATTTAGAAAAATAATTTTCATTTATTACACTTAATTTTGTTTATAAGGTGACTTTATAGTTCCTTTCTCTTTCTTTTATAAAATTGTAAATATTAAAAATTGTAAATTGTATAATAATGATGAACCTTAGAAAGAATCTAATATTTCATGCTTAGATTTATTATTAGCAAAAGGTGTATAATCACATTTTGATACGTTGTAACATAAAAGAAGTAAAAACTATCATTGTAACCCGAAATTAGTATTCAAGTACCTGTTCCGACATTAATTGATTCTATGCATAATAGATCTCATAATTTTTTTATATACGCTATTCTTTAACACTTTACAAAAATTGGTTCACACGAATCCAAAATTCCAGCCAATATTTTAGCGTTATTACTTTGGTGTTTATCAAATGAATATCGAGAAGTATCGACATTTAATTTTATTGGGAAAATTTGTTGAAAAGTGTAAGTTGGCAGAATTGAACATTCATTTAATAACAAATTCGAAAATAATAGACTATTAAAATATAGTTCCTTATTATCGTTCCTTGTCAAATTAGTGATGTGATAAAAAAGCCGACTATAAAAATAATCTATAGATTACCAATAACAATGGAAATGTATGTATTATTATTTGGCAAATATAATATTTTTTTCTCCTTAGAAATAATATGCATTAAGCGAAGATTTAAATTGGGGAATAGTTTTTTTTTTAAACTTTGATGGATATAATGGATATAATGAACAAGAGATATCTAATCTTTTACATATAAGTCAATCCGCTGTTAATAAGATACTTAAAGATGTAATAAAACAGATATTTTTGAAATCACTAATACAAAATAAGGTATTTAGATGAATTATTACGCTACTCATAACTCATACCAACAATCATTGTTGAGAATACTGAGATAACATTTGAGATGAAATTATCAACATTGTGGAAAAACTTGAAAAAATGAATTTTTTTATGATTATTTTATAATATTTGTAATTATAATTTTTTTTATAGCTTCACAAATAGCAAAAGAAAGAAATGAACTTGTTTATTGGAGAAGGTTATAAATCAGGACAATTAATATTTATTGATGAAAGCGCAAAAGATGAAATGATCTTTATGAATATATCCTCGTGCAGAAAAAAAAAAAGTAGTTTTTGTATGTGAAAAAAGATATACAATGTTGCCCTTTCTCTTAATAGATTTATTGCAATGAAGAAGTTGTGATAGAAATAAACTTAATAATTTGATTTTAAATCAACTGGTAATTATTTTTTATTATTATTATATTGTAATTTAAAACACAAGTAATACAATTGATGTAAAATTATTTTTTTTTATCTCCTTATTCACCTGTTTATAATGTATTTGTATTTATTTATTCATAGGTATTATAGATGTATTTCTATATATATATTTTTTACATATCTTTATTTATTATTAGTTTTATTATTTATTTATTTTAAACATTTATTTTGTTAATAATCAATTTTTGTTATTCATTAAATTTATTAAATTTATTAAATTTATTAATTAAGAATTACATTAAATTACTATATTTAACTATAAATAACATAAAATAAATATAAATAAATCAATTTATTTATTTTAAACAGGAGGCCAAACAGCTTGTAAGACATCAGCCACTACATCACTTGGCATAGTAATTTTACTGTTACTTCTTAATCTTATTAAAGTCATCGCTTTTGTTCCGTACATTAAACTTTTATCATCAACAATATCTCTTAATATTAATCTATGTGAAAATACTTTTTCACTGGCAAACAAAACAAGTTCCGGAGTTGCATAATTACGATCAAATATTGCTGCTAGAGCTCTAAATGAATAACAATTAATGAATATTATGAATATTAATGATAATTTATGAATGAATGAATGAATGAATAAATAAATAAATAAATAGTTAATTAATTACTTGACAAGTGTTCCCAAATCAGTTGACGCACGTGCAGTTAATCCACCTTTCACCAATCGATGTGTTCGTAATCCCACTACTATATCTCTCATATATCGTTGTATATCATTATGGATTGTAACAGTTTCCATATTTTCTGATAAGCTATCAAGTTCCTTTTTTTTTAAATAATTTAAATAATTTTATGATTTTTTTTTTTTTACTAAAAATTAAAAATATATATTAAAATAAAAAAATGCTTTAAATGAATAAGTAAAGTAGAAATAAATAAATATACAAAATACCGTTGTACGAATGATGGGACCTTTTCGATTACATAAATTGAAACCCATTGGTGATTTTCCTATTCCTCCTCCTCCTTCATAAGTATAATTAATAAAAAATCTGTCCATCTTTTTATGTTAAATAGAATATAATAGTGAATATATAAAAAGTGAATATTATAATAATAATAATAATAATAAATTATGTGTTATGAATAAATAATTCATACCAATTGATTGGGCAGATTAATCCCTGAAGATGTTTTTGGCGTTGGCAATAAAGCAATTAATATAAATGGTTTTGGTAAGTCAAGATTTGATTTCCCAATTATTTGTTTTTTTATTAAAATCTGTAAATCAATAAATAATTAAATAATTAAATAATTATAAATAAATAAATTAATTAATTATAAATAATAATAATAATAATAAAAATAATTATTACCTCATCCATAATAAAAGCATAAATGCATTCATTCGCTTCAGATAAATTTTCAATTATAACAGCATTCGCCAACTTTCGTGAATTTGAAATAAAAGGTGAATGAAGTTCATAATTACTAGTGGTAGTAGTACTTTCATGTTTCTTCTTAGAAAATGTATATTCACTTGGTGTAACTGGTGATGGTTGTGGTTGTTGATTGATATGGGAAGAATTATGAATCATATTTTTTCGAGGTGATGATCCTCCTCCTATCATCATGGTGGTATTAATACTAAGATTTGGACGAGGAATATCAATCGGTTGACTTGTTGCTGTTGTTGTTGTTGTTGTTGTGATATTTTTTTTATGTGATTGTTGAGGTGTTTGAGGTCGTGAATGTGATGAAGAAGAAACTGAAAAAGTAGTTTCTTTGGGACTATCAAGAGTTCGTGAACGTTCTTTTGACTAATAAATAAGTAAATAAGTAAATAATTAAATAATTAATAATTATTGAATAATAATCAATGAATAAAATAAAATAATAATCAATGATTAATAAATAAATAAATGATAGTAATTATAATAATAATAATAATAATAATAATAATAATAATAATAATAATAATAAAAGATATTACCTTCCAAGATCCATATTCTCCTACATCAATAATCATATGTTCCGAGTTATCATTATGTGATTCATCAGTTAAATTCGATTCCGTAATTGATAAATCTCGATTATGATTGTTGTTAATGGCATAATGAGATAGATTAGATTGACGTCTTGATCTTTTATCATGTAAAGTTTTTCGTTCATTATAGGATCTTATTGAACTCGTGGTTGTTAATGATCTAGATGATCTTTGTGATTTTAATCTATCATCATTAGTATTACTATTATGAGTATTAAGATTATAAATATTAAGATTATTATTATTATTATTATTATTATTATTATTATTATTTGATGATGATGTGTAAGAATTATTATCATCCCTTGGTCTACTACTAAAGAGACCATTTGTAAATTCTGTAGTATTTTGAGATGCATCACATATAATAGTGGTGCTTGTTAATCCAAAAACATGATGGAATACCTTTAAAAAAAATGAAAAATTATTATTAATTACATTTAAACTATATTAAAAAGTATATTATTAAGTATATTTGAGTATATTTAAGTATATTATTAAGATTATTAAGTATAATATTAAGTATATTATTAAGATTATTAAGTATAATATTAAGTTTATTATTAAGTATATTATTACCTGTTCAGTCATAGTTTTAAGTTCTTCAATGTTCTCTTGTTCACAAGTCAATATTAAATGTTTGTCTCCTGAAATAAGACAAACTAATATTGAAATTAAAACATCTTCAGATATTTGTGGTTTAATAATTTGGAGTTTTGACTTTAACCAACTTTTTGCTTGCAAAAGTGTTGGCGTTTCTGAACGCATCATTGAATGAATGATTGATAATTATTGATAATTATGGATTATTATTGTTGTTAATAAATTTCAATATTCTTAACAATTTAAGACAATTTCAAAAAAAAAAAAAAAAAAAACCAACAAAAATTCAATTTTAGGTTAATTTACATATTTATATACATTTTTCATAATCACCATTATATTCATTCATTCGTTAATTAACAGTTATCAAATAAAAAGCACCATGTGAGATGAAATGCATGCATAAAAGAGAGTACATATTCTCTTTAGTGTTTTTAGTGTTGGTGTTACTATCTACAAGGAAAAAGGTAAATTGTATAAATTATATAAAATACTTTTTAATTTATCTATCTTGTGTATCTTGTATACATTACACAAACAACAAATTTTCATTATACAAATAAAAAATATTAGGTCGGCATGTTTCTTTTGAGCGAAAAATTAAATCCAAAAAAAAGACGATAACAATAACGACTAACGATAACAAATGAAAAATTTTCTCTCTCTCTATATATAAAATATATATTTATATCAAAAAGTGAAAATAAAATAAAAATAGTAAAATGGGAAGGCATTCTTTTCCCGTTCTAAACCAACAGTTTTTGGTAGACGAAAAATATAATTTTATTCGTGAACTCGGGCAAGGAGCTTATGGGGTTGTGTGGTAAATTTAAATTTTTATAATTATTTAAATTTTTATTATTATTTTTATTATTTTTTTTTATTATTTTTTTCTTTTTTTTTTATTATTTTTTATTATTTTTTATTATTTTATTATTATTTTATTATTATTTTAAAATTATATATATTATTTTTATAATGATACGTATATTTTTATTTTTTTTTATTCATAATGTTTCATAATTACATATATAAATATATATATATTATTTTATATAAATACACATTCGGAGTTGCATTCGTAAATATTTTAGAGTGTAAAATACTAATGAATTATAATTTATCAATAAAAAATGATTTAATTTAATTTTTTATTATTATCATTATTATTATAGCGCAGCGCGTAATAAACATACCGGCGAAGGTGTGGCAATTAAAAAGGTCACGAATGTATTTAATAAAACTATTCTTACCAAACGCGCATTACGTGAAGTGAAATTATTACAACATTTTAGAGGTCATAAAAATGTAAGAAAATAATTTTATAACGAATTCACGCGTTCAATCTATTTTTATTATTATTATTATCATTTATCTTTCGTTTTTTTATCTTTAATTCCAATAGATCACATGTCTATACGATATGGATATCATTGATCCTCATGATTACAATGAAATGTAAATGATTTATTATTTTTATTTTTTATTTTTTTTTATTATATTTTTATTTTTTTATTTATATGAATTATCTCCATCAATCAATCAAAAAAATGAATATAGATATCTTTATGAAGAATTAATGGAGGCAGATCTTCATGCAATTATTCGATCTGGTCAAGCATTGACAGATGCTCATTATCAAAGTTTTTCATATCAAATTTTAAGTGGATTGAAATATATTCATTCAGCAAATGTATTACATAGAGATTTGAAACCTGGTTTGTTTTTTTTTTTTTTTTTTTTGAGTTTTATTACTTATAGATTTTTTATCAATTTAATTTTTAATTTTTAATTTATTATTCATTATTTATTATTCATTACTTATTATTATTATTATTATTATTATCATAGGTAATCTTTTGGTAAATGCAGATTGTGAACTTAAAATTTGTGATTTTGGACTTGCTCGTGGATTTTCAGAAGATCCTGCCGCAAACTCTGGTTTTATGACTGAATATGTGGCTACTAGGTGGTACAGAGCTCCAGAAATTATGCTCAGTTTTCAAAGTTATACAAAAGCTAGTAAGTAATAACATGTGTATAATGATAAGATATGTGTATAAAATTGATATAATATTTAATATTTATATTATTTTTTTTATTTCTTTAAATAGTTGATTTATGGTCTGTAGGATGTATTTTGGCAGAGTTATTGGGAGGTAGACCTTTATTCAAAGGAAGAGATTGTATCCTTTTTATCAATTTTTTATTTTTATAGTTCAAATTTTATTAACCTTTATCAAATTCCTATTCTATTAGTCAAATTGAAACACATATGATACATTTATCTATCTATTTATTTATATTTATATTTATTTATTTTTAAATTCCTTAATAATAAAAAAAAATTCAATTATTTTTTTCAGACGTTGATCAATTAAATCAAATACTTCAAACATTAGGTACACCTAATGATGTGACTTTAACAAGGATAGGAAGTGCAAGGGTAAATTATTAAATAATCAATTTGAGTACACATTTATACCTATTTTATTTATTTATTTATTTATTTATTTATTTTATTTATTTATTTATTTTATTTAATTATTTATTTAATTTATTTATTTAATTTATTTATTTATTTTATTTATTTATTTTATTTATTTTATTTAATTTGATTTCTCAGGCACAAGAATATATTCGTAATTTACCTTATATGCATAAAAAATCTTTTTCTACCCTATTTCCTAATGCCAATCCTTTAGGTAAGTTTAAATTAAATATTCTAAATATTTTTTTTTCTATATAAATATTTTAAAATGTTAATTTTATTTGATTTATTTATGTAAAAAATAAATAGCACTTGATTTATTAGAACGTCTCTTAACTTTTGATCCTTCTAAACGCATAACTGTTGACGAAGCATTAGAACATCCATATTTATCTGTGTGGCATGATCCTAATGATGAGGTTTTAATAATTAATTATTATATTATTATTATTATTATTATTATTATTATTATTATTATTATTATTATAATTTAATAATTGTTTATCATAATTTTTAAAAGATTTACAAATTTATTTAAATTTATTGAATTTATTTTTATTACATTTACAGCCTGTATGTTCTGAAGGTTTTGATTTTTCATTTGAATCAGTTGATAGTCCTGAAGTAATGAAAGGTAATTTTTTAAATTATTATCTTTAATTTTTTTAATTTTTTAATTTTTTTTTTTTTAATCTTTTTTTTTTTAATTATTTATAGTAATGATTGCTCAAGAAGTCCAAAATTTCCGAGCAATGGTTAGACGTCAACATGGACCTCAACTTAGTGTTGCAACTAAATCCATGTATTCACCCGCCATATATTCACCCGGTTTATCAAAAATTCCCGATCGTGATACCATCCTAAATTCTCCTACTGTAGTACGTGGTGATGTGAATGCACTTGCGGCAGATCATTATAAAGGAGTTCATGGTGCCCCTACAAGTGAAGATTTAGAAAGAGAATTAAGTGGATATATACAATAAAGACATTTTAGTTTCTTTTTTTTTACTACTTAATTTGCAAGAAAGAAAGAAAGAAAAAAAAATGGACTTGATTAAGGTTCTCCTTATAAAATAATTTAAAATAATTTATAAAATGTATTGTATATTTAAATTAACTGTTAAGACTATTTTAATGATAAATAAGAATTTCAATTTTTATGAAGAAAACAAAAAAAAAAACTTTGAATGGACTACTATTTATTACTATACTATTTAGTAATTATTAGCATATTTGATATGTTTGACATATTTGGTATATTTGGTACATTTGATATTAATTTATTAGTAGTAGTAGAAAATTTTTATTTATTTTTTCTTTTTTTTTCCAACATTTCGGTAAGTCATTCATGTTCATGTTTGATTTTAATTATTTTTTTAGATTAATTTTTAGATTGTTTATTATTATTAACTTCATTTTTTTTTTTTGATCTCTTTTGGTATTCTCACTTTCCCTTACTTTTTTTTTTTTTTTACTTATTTTATTTATTTATTTCATTCTATGATTGCTTATTTTTATTTCATTTTTTTTTTTACGCGTCTCTTTTTTTTTGTTTAATTTAGATTTTTCTTATTTCGGAAATAATAGAATCACGAGCTATTTAATCGCGTGACCGGGGAATAAAAATGGAATAACGTCACTCTTTCATTTAAACATATATATTACGTCTATTAAGAAATTCGAATCTGCTAGAAAAATTTAAATGTGTCCAGAATCTTCCAGTAATATATTGAATTATTAAGATTAACGATAAAGATAATTTGATAAAATTGATTATAAGGTGATGCAAGTTCCCAAAGTTAAACATTTCATTATCCGAAAAAAAAAAATAATCCGAATAACTATATAAATTTAAGGTGTCTGGGATGGAAAAAAATTTTAATCATTCCGGAGTCCTCGGTTAAATTGGTTTAAAAATTTTTTACCTTTACCTTTATTAGTTTCAAATTTTTTTTTTTTTTTTTTTTTTATAAGTTCAAATATTCAGTTCATCTATTTAGTTCAACTTTTTTTAGTTCATTTATTAGTATTCCAACAACTTTTTCACTTTTACTTAAACGTTTTTTAAACATATCAAAATTATCATTATAATATAAAAACAAGAAACATAATAATAATAAATTTTCGCGACAATGGTTAAAGATACGAAACTTTACGATATGCTGGAAATTTCTCCAGACGCTTCAGAAAATGAACTAAAAAGAGCCTATAAAAAATTGGCTCTCAAGTATCATCCTGACAAGGTAAAATATATTTTCTTTTATTAAAAATTATTTATTCATATTTTTTTTTATATAGTTTCACAGATAATTTCGAAATGTCTTTAAAATATGCGCAGTACTTCAAAGTACTTTCAAAAGTCTTTCACAGATGCTTTATAATTTAATAATAAATATTTTTACAGAATTAAATATTATAAAAACAATAAAAAAATTTCTGTGTTTGTTATGATCTAGTTTCTTCGGAATCAGCCTTACCCAAAGTTAATGACCAAGGCGATCGTTATCTACTGTCGTTAACCTATATATATATATTAAAAAATAATAATAATAATAAAAATAATAATAAATAGTAATAATAATAGTAAATAATAATTAAAATTATGAACCCAAAAATCAAAAAAAATCAGATTTACTAAATTTAGTCAATCAACACTAAATTTATTAGAATCCAGATACTGCCGAAAAGTTTAAAGAAATTGCACATGCTTTTGAAGTTCTTTCTGATCCTCAAAAAAAAGAGATTTACGATCGATATGGAGAAGAAGGTTTATCAGGTGAAGGAGGAATGGGTGGTATGTCACCCGAAGACTTATTCGCCAGCTTTTTCGGTGGTGGTATGTTTGGAGGTAGATCTCGCCAATCGGGACCAAAAAAAGGAAAGAATTTGAAACATGTACTTAAAGTTTCATTAGAAGATTTCTATAACGGAAAATCGACCAAATTATCTTTGAACAAAAATGTCATCTGTAAAACATGTGATGGTCGAGGAGGAAAAGAAGGAGCGGTTAAAAAGTGTAGTACTTGTGATGGTACAGGTTATAGAATTCAATTAAGAACTTTAGGTCCTATGGTACAACAAATTCAACAACCTTGTAACGAATGTAACGCCACTGGTGAAATTATTAAAGAAAAGGATCGATGTAAAACGTGTTATGGTAAAAAGGTTATCAACGAACGTAAAGTATTAGAAGTACATATTGAAAAAGGAATGAAGAATGGTCAAGAAATACCATTTATTGGTGAAGCAGATCAAGCACCTGGTATTGAACCAGGTGATGTTATTATTGCTTTGGAAGAGAAACCACACGACCGTTTTGTAAGGAGAGATGATGATCTATTTTATACATCCAAGATCGATCTTCTAACATCTTTAGCGGGAGGAGTATTTTTTATTGAACATCTTGATAATCGAGCATTGGAAGTTCACGTTGAGCCATTCGAATCAATCAAACCAAGTAAATATTTATTTAATTAATTATTTTTTATTTTATTTTATTTTATTTTATTTTATTATTCATTCTATATCAAATAATGTTAACTAAATTTTTATTCTTTATTTATTCATTTAATTATTTTTATAGACGAAATTAAGGCAATTCCGGGACAAGGAATGCCAGCACGTCGTCATCACACCAATGGAACTCTTTATATCAAATTTGATATTGAATTTCCTTCTCGTCATTGGACAACTGATCCAACGAAATTAGATATTCTTAAAAGTGTTCTTCCATCACCTCCTAAAGCTCAACCTCCACATGTAGAACATGTTGATACTGTGAATTTAACGGATCTTGACGATCTTCAACAAAAGACTGCCGATAATTTTATGACTAATAAACAAGATGAAGAAGATGAAGGACATGGTCCAAATGTTCAATGTGCTCAACAGTAATAATAATAATAATTAATAATAATATTAATAATCATAATAATAATGACGATAATAATGATAATGATAACAATAATAAAAATAACAATAATAAAGATTGAACAAAAAAAAAAAAGTAATTTTTGAGTGATGTACATTTATTGACCTCTATTATTATTATTGAGACTACTAAATAATATTCTTCGAAAAAAAAAAAAAAAGTTCCTTATTTATATTTATTGAATATTATCATTATTATTGTCATATTATTGTCATTATTATTCTCTCTTCTCCTTATTCTCTTTGGCATGTTTCAAGTTATAGATATTATTATTACTATTATTATTATTATTATCGTTATTATGAAATTTCTTTTAGCCTTTTTACTAATGTGTGTGTGTACGATTGGTTTTATAATAATATAATAGCTCAGAGGGAAATACACAAAAAAAAAAAAAGAGAGAGAACTAAAAATTTATATAATAATAATAATCATAATAATAATTGATATATAAGAATCCATCATCTAAAAACTTCAAATGTAATGTAGTAATAGATAAACAAATTTAATTCTCTTTTTTTTATTTTTCATAATATTTGCATTTGATCTAAATATTTTATTATATTTTTTTTTCTTGGGTTTTTTTTTCTTTGATATGCTAATGATTTTTCAAATTTTAATTTAATCTGAAAAAACTTTATAGAAAATTCATGAATTTATTATTTACCAGACTATTTTATTGAGCGTTGGTGACACATGATAAATTAATGTCATTTAAGATTTATTTTTTCAAAAAAAAAAAACAATCACATTACAAAATCAACATTAATAATTCATTCACGTAAAAATTCATTTAAATGTGATTTTTAGGTGTAATTTTATAAAAAATGAAAATTTTTATTTGCTTTAACATTTTTTTAATAATAATAAAAATGGTTGTTTTATTCATAAATATAATGTCCTTTTCTTCCTATTATAACCTTTGCACCAAAAAAAATAAGAAATATCTGAAATTGTCTATTTCTCAAATAATGTCAGTTAAAAAGATTGAATACATCTAGTTATATATTTATATATTACAATTTTATATTACATGTTTTTCAATTTCATAAAAAATCTCAATGGAAATAAAATGTTTTATATTTTCTCATTATGATTGTACATTGTGTGATTTGATCAATAATAATACAATGGTTATTTGCTGTTGTAATGTTTTAATTAATAAAATATTGATATAGTTTTGATTTAATTTCTTGGAAAGTTATAACTCTTAAAAAAACAAACAAACAATAAACTGATAAAACTAATCTGTCAATTTAATCAGTTTATTTTTTTTATTTTTATAAAAATTTATTTTATAAAGGTTTAAAAAAAAAAGATTTTATACAATCAATTAATAAAAACATTAAATTTCAAAATGGTTTTTTTCATTAAAAAAAGTATCTTCTTGGAAAGTATCTTCTTGAAAAGTATCTTCTTGAAATGTATCTTCTTGAATAGTATCTTCTTGAATAATATCCTCTTGAATAATATCCTCTTGTATACTTTCTTGTGCATTTTTTGTTTTTTTCCTTTTACTCATTAAACTCTCTATTTCATGCTCATGAAGTCGATCACTTCTGCATACTTCCAAAAATTCTTTGTCATCAATAGGTGCTTTATAATTGGATTTTAAATATGATGATTTTCCGTAATTTTCCGGTATTCTTAGTCTCTCCTGTTAAATAGAAAAAATATAAATAAAAAAAAAAATTGATTTTATTATTATTATTAAAACCTACCGTCTGTCGGCGTCTTTTCAATATTGTTCTAACTGAGAAAGGTGAATATAGCATATGTTTTTCTTTATTCACATCATCATCAACATATTTCTCATAAAATAATAGTTCCGAATTTTTTGGATAATATTGATTCTCGATATTATAATCTCTAACCCATTTGAATGTGAAAACCTAAAAAATAATAACAACAATAATTCATTATAATTTATATATAATATAATATAATATAATATATAGATAGATAGATAAATATATAAATTCTTACTTCGCCATCTAAGTCTTCAAATCTTCTTTTATTTTGTAGTCGTTCTGTAGATTCTTTTGTTGGAGCATAAAGCATCAAAAATCTTTCATTTCCACTGGCCATGGGACGCTTTATAGCTTTGGCAGCTCGATCTTGAATCATTTCTCCATGATCCTAATAAAACCAAATTCACATATAACCTTTTTTTATATATATATATTATATAACAAAATTAATATGAAAATATGAAAAACTTGAAATTTGAAAATAATTCTAACATCATCATCTTCAAGTGAAATTCCTCCCCATGGATCACCATCTAAAATAAGATGGGCGAGAAGAGCATTCCTAACTTCAAAATCAGGAAAGACAGGAATAATTTCAACAGGTTTGATATTTGGATCCTTAGCATGTTTAAGTTGTTTAAGACGTTTAGGATCATTTGCTGCTTCAAATGAATGTTCAATAGCAGCAATTTGCTCTTCATGCGTTCGATGTAGAAATTCATTACTGGCTTTTAATGTAGCCATCCTATTTTTTTTTTTAAATTATAATATATAAGTAAATAATTCAAATTTTTTTTAATATTTAACATAAATTTATATTAAATAATAATAAATTGAATTTATACCGGCTCTCCATTGTCATTGCTGCATTTTCATTTCTATAAGCACTTTCTGATGCACTAATATATTGAGTTCTACGAAGCCATGTTTTAGGATCATTTGAGTGTCTCCTTAATTGTGCTAATCCAGGAATAACATTTATAGCAGGTTTGGCGGGAACCAAAAGAGCGACGTCTTTACTATCAAGTCCACTAAATCTTCTAGGACATAAAACTATTTGTACAAAGCATGAATTTAATTAGAAATTTAATTAGATTTGCACATTATGACCATTTACTAAACAGAAAGTATTTATTTGATTTAACTATATTACCTGAATCGTCCCCATAAAAAGCATTAGAAACAACACTCAAATCGTACGGCATTCCTAGATCAGCATCACTCAGTAAAGGCAGACGAGTAGATTGGACTGTTCGAGAAGTTCGTCTTACATTCATTATTTTTTCTAGGTCTGGTTTCCAAACCAAATCTATCGGAGGATCTAAAGGCTGAGGGAGGAGGTGTCTATACCTCATCCCACATAGATAATTGTAATCCGAACGGCCCTTCCTGTTTTGAGAATTATGGCTTTAAAAGAGAGAAAACAAACATTTAAGAATTATTTTTTAATTATCATTTCACGTAAAAAAAAAAAAAAAATAAACGATAATCGAATAATAATTTGCATACTTTGGTCTGTTTGACATTGATGTTGTTAAGACTAAGTAACGCGAAAAATGAAATTATATTTAAAGGTAACGCCAAAATGTCGATCACCCAAGAAGTTGGATGTACAAAATTCAATACAATTCCTTTTCACGTGCACACAATTTTTCTAGTCATCGATTTTTTATTTATAATTTCCATTTTCCTAATTTTATAAAAAAAAATTTTAATTTAAAAAATATAATTTTATGCAAAAACAATCTTTCAAATAATTAAAAGAAAAGAAAGGAATTAAAGGAATTCTAAAGTTGCATTATAAACAAGATTTGATTCTGTAACAATCAAAATATTCCAATTGATTTCGTGACTGCTCTTGAGAACCTCTTGGAGTACCTTTGGAGTACCTCCTCTTGGATCCCTCCCCCTTTTTGAAGTAGTTGCTCGTGTCATCGGAGCTACTTTCATGATGATGAATACGTATCATCCGTATTAACCGCGGAAATTGTAAAAATTATTATAATATAATTGTGAATATGTTGATGTTGGCATTATAATATTATGGGTTTCTTCATTTTCACAATCTGAAGAATTAATCATTTTAATTGAATAATTTACTTGTATCGTAACATCCAATTTTTATGAAATTCTCCATTATTGTAAACTGTTGCAAGTCTTGATTTTATACCATTTTCTTCAAATAAAATATTCCAAGCTTTTAGTCCTAATGTCAATATAATCGGGTGGTGGTTTGTTTTCAATTATGGGATTTCCTCAAGAAATTTTTGTCCTGCTTTATATACACCCCAAGTGGACTCATGTCTTTAATCAAAAAGATGAGGTGGTACAGGAGCTAAAGAAACATTATCATATGCGGGAGGTGTCCTTGATAAAGAAGGATATAAAGGATAGATAAAGGTCTTATTGCTTGATCACGTGTTCTTTAAATAAATGTCAATTCCAATAAAATTAATTTTCGATGCCAGATTATCGAGCTAATCTTGTGAACTCTAATCGATATTCATTCAATGAACGGTTCCAAGCAATAACAGCTGCTAATGCTAAATTATTGGTTGGAATTTTTTGATTCGTGCAATCAATTTTTGTAAAGTGTTAAAGAATAGCATATATCCAGCATTATAAAAAAAGTATTAGATCTGTTATGCATAGAATCAAGATTATTTTGTTTAATGTAAACTAGAGTCGGAACATGTACTTGAATACTAATTTCGGGGGAAAGTTTTACAATTATAGTTTTTACTTCTTTTGATTTGATTTGATTTGATTTTTTCTTAGTACTAATGTTGCAATATAATATCAGTATTATTAAAAATCCTGTTGTTGAAAGTGTGACTATGCAATAATTTTCGCGACGTCTCCAACCATCTGTATAATAATACCAAAACACCCATCCAGAACCTGAAGAATAAATTCGATTGCTAGTGTAACTGCTACCTTCGCCACATCCACATCCACCTCCACCTCCTTTCACATAAACTATTGATTCAAATAATAAACTTAAGCATAAAAACATTAGTTTCTTTCTCATCATTATTATAGAATTTACAATTTTAAAAGAAAAAAAATTTTTATAAAGAAAGAAAGAGAAAAGGAATTTTTCAGTCTATGATCTAGTTACTGGTTATTAATTAAAAATATAATAAACATATATATTTAAAAAATTTTTTAATAAAAGGTCATGTTTATATTAAAGATTCAATTGTATCACACGCAATTACAGAATTGCACAGGTCAAAAATCAAAATTTCGGGTACAAATCGGGTACCCGATAACCGTGTTGGTTTTCGGGGTACCCAATAATAAAATTTTAAATTAACTATTATCATAATTTTATAATTAAATTGTCAGTACATTACTAAGTAATCTTGTAGATAATAAAAATGTGCATTGACTGTAGAAATATAGCTCTATAACATTAAAATTGAGAATTAATTCGTACAGCCGTTCAAAATTTAATCACTTATAATTCTCTTGATTTTAAAGAATTAGATCTAATATTTCTACAGTCAATGCAAATTTTTATTATCTATGTGTCTACTTAGTAGCAATTTTACAATTAGATTTTTTTTTTTTTTTTAACCATCGGAGTCTTGTTAGACACTTTATTAAATAAAACAAATGTTGAATTTACATGTTGTG